CCCCGACTGTCCTTCGGGATTCCCTCCGAATAAATTCTGCGACAGTATTTACTTACGCTGTTATATACGCCGTTGGGAAAGATCACATCGTTTGTTTAACGAACCGAATCGCCGAATGTGACGAGTGCTGGTTAATTTAGTTTCTCAAGCTGCGTGCGTGCGCATGCGATTCTCGTCCTTCTTCCTTCCTCGTCTTGGGACGCCACGAGTACACGCCCGATAAAACCAGCTGCTTATCCCGGGATCTCGGGTTCACCCTCTAAGATCGGTTAATGCGATTTTGGAGGCGCACAGCGCGAGAAAGGAGAGATGAAGAGAAGCAGTTCCCGAAATTGCGACGGAACCAGGCGGACGAGTTATGTTCGTCCGCGACGATTTCGAGACGATAACGCATTAAAGAGACACCGGTGAAGCCACGTAATTGATGAGCTCGTGGCTTGACGACGTCGCTACGGCGGACACCAAAATTAAATCTATATAATGTAGGGAAGAATCTAACACCGTTCTACCTCCGGTTGTCATATCTTATAAATAGCGAAGAATCTTGCGATATATCTTGTGACACCGCTGAATTTATGCCAGTGCCCCGCCAACTCATTGCTCGCCGAGCATTAGGGATAAGCCTTAGAAGGAAATTGGCGAGCCGTCGCTCTTCAGTTTGCGGATTGCGTCTTCCGTTGTGTCGAATGAACCTTAAGAAGTGGCATGGAGCACAAATTCGGATTAAATTAATTCTCGGAATATAATCCTGTCCCTTTACGTCCCTCAGGTTGCACGAGTCCCCACCTCTTCATTATCCTGACTTATCGCAATACCATTGAGAAACGTGCTCGAGCGACTACGATCGAAATTGATCGACGAGTCCGATTATTCGAATTGTTCCAAATCAATCACATTCTCTATGTTAATGTCCCGCTTATTCTTTCAATCATCGCAAGAATCCATAATTTAAATTAAGACTTGAGTCACTCGAGAGAGAGAGAGAGAGAGAGAGTGAGAAATTACTGTTACTCAACCGGTTGGAACGATATGAAAACTCGATGAGTCGCCAATAATCGACGTCGCCGAGGAGGAGTCACTCAAAAACAGTGATTGAATGCGCGCGGAAATGACGTCGGCGGGATGCACGTGTCCGCCGCTCGCAAAATGCAGATAGACGGTGATTTACTTATCAACAATCGACCGGCTCCGCCGGAGGTAAATGGTCGAGTCGTGACCATTAGTCCGTGGATCATGTTTGTATGGGCCGGCGGTCCATACCTACGAGGCAGCAAGGTACGCGAATCGACACCGTGTGAGGCCCGGCGGGGCCCAACACGACCTCATGTCCTCCGCTACGACTCTACACAGCGACGTGTCTCGAGCGACGGTCGATATATTACGCAGGCTAAGTGCACGAGTCGCTCGATCATCGTTTTTCTCACAATCAATTATCCACCACTTTCGGAAAATCGACAACCATTCATTTCTCCACTCCCGCGAATATTGATCTCGTCCAACGTAATTCTCTCTCAGACTCAACCGTCTCTCTCTCTCTCTCTCTTTCTCCTTTTCTCTCCTATCGGGGACAGAACAACGTGGCACACTTCGAAGGTGTATTTGAAAGCTGAAGTCGCGCATGAAGATTCCGGAAATGACATGTTCCCTCGGAGTTTCAAAACAGTTTCAAGAAGGAATTCGCTCAAGAAGATTGCGCGCGGTGCGCCGGCCTGCGGTAATGCGGCTCTATCAGCGCAATTTGTAAGCTATTTGCGGGCACTTGAAACGACCGAAATCGCGAGCGCACGGAGAAACCAGGGAGTTACGCAAGAGACCGACGCATTTTCAGAGCGGCTCTTCAAATCGGCCCTGGAATCGCAGAAATTACCGCGCGCGCTTGACTTGCTCGCGTGAGCGCTGGGACTATTCACGGCGGCTCGTAACGAGCCGCGGCCTCGCGGTCGCATTGAACTAGAACGAAATAGAACGAAACCGGTGAATATAGTCGCGAACGTCGATAAGATCGTTCGCAGGAAGAGTGCCCGAGATCCTTCATGAGGTGTTAATGCTACCTTACGGACGTTACGTCTGAGATTTAACGATCTTCGAATTAAGATGATCGTCCTTAAAGCTTGAAATCCGACCGCAGGTGCAAGTTAAATAGCCTCAACTTTGCATCACCTTCCGATACCTCAGGTACTAATTAGTTCAGGCGTTACGCATTTACTTTTTCATCAGTCGCACGTCGCTCGCATCGATTTCGCTTAGTATTTAACTTGGCTCGCGTTAATCCCCCGTCTCGTAGGCAAAAATATCATGCGGAGAAAATATCATGCTGATCGGTAATACGAATTTATACTCGGTCGCGGTTGTTCCCCCGAGAGCGAGTCGAAAATATGTTCATCCCGATGCTTAACGAGAGTATAAAGCCAACAGCTTCTGAACCCGAACATAACCGCGTATCTGAATACTCGAAAGCAACAGTCGAAGGTGACCAGCCACCTGCCTGATCTACTGATTTTCCCAACAGCTAACTTCGCCTTCCGTTCTCCCCAAGTACCACGTACCTTTAATCACTCAAGTACACCGTATATATGACGTACTGATCACACAAATGTTCCGGGGAATTTGCAAAAGAACCGGAGGATAACCGAATATGAATAGTCTGGATACTCGGGACTTGTCCAGGAGACTCGGATCGTCCGAGTAATACCTGAGTAGTAGTCAGATAGTGAATCCACTCACCGATAGTAGTCCTTTTTGCAGTAGATGTTCCCGTCTCTGCTGAAGCAGGTGCTTTCCCCGTCGAGACCCTGACGACAATGTGAGCACTGGAGGCACGCGGCATGCCACCTCCTGTCGACGGCCTGAAGATAGAACCTGTCGGATATCCTGAGGCCGCACCCCGCGCAAACCACTCCGGGAATGTCCTCGGACTGTGCCGGTGGCGTGGGCGGTGGCTCCAATTTCGGGACCGCGTGCAAGTGTTCCGTCGTGGTCTGTTGCTCCTGCGAGTGCAGATGAGGATGATGATGGTGATGGTGATGTAGGTGGTGATGATGCGCGGTCTGCGACGGCATGCTTAGGTCACTGGCATTTTCGAAGTTCCCACCGCCTCCCCTGTACTCCTGTGCACCTGCCGAGGGACATTTCGTCTGGATTATTCGTCGTTCACTCATTTAGGTTAATTAATCGCCCGTCAGCTTCGGAAACTACAACAGCTTCAAGGCAACTCGAACACAAACCTCGAGAAGATACGACACAGGTTTCTTAAGTAAAGTAAAAGGTTTCTTAGGGAGTCGGATTCCCCTTTTCATCGGTCAATTCTCCGAGATCTATCTTTAATGCGTTCTAATATTCGCCAACCCCTTCGGACAGGTGAAGGAACGCTACCTCCGGGAGAATCGTAGTCCCTCGAGTCGTAAGGGGTGGTCGATCCGTCGTAACAATTGTTATTGGTGCCGCAGTGGGTCTGATGCAGGGGCGTATGATGGGACCCATGATGGTGGGCGGCAGGAGGGCTGCATGGTAGAGTAGTGGGTCGCGCAGCATCGCCCATCGACGCGGGAAGGCAAGGACTTAGGTCCCGCGCCTGGTCCACTGCTCCGGGCCCCCCCGCGCTACCAGGCCCCCCTTGGCGCCCCACAGCCAAGCCGCTGCCACGCTCCTGCGAGCTGGGCGGCTGCTGGAACAAATCGATGTATCGACACTTTAGTTAGCGCATCAAATCGCCGGTGCCCGCGATTTATTTGCCTTTTGTCCCGCAAGGCTGGCCGATACTAACGTGTTACGGACGTAAACATTCTTTCTAGGCCACATTCAGTGTCGTTCTTTTTGTAGTTGACGGCAAATATGGAGAGCTCGCTACTGCGTGTGCCGGTGTCAGCTTGTTCTTATAAATTTGTACCGATACAACGATTCACGTCACTTTTATTACCGGAACACAGCCGGTAATTTGTATAAGCATATTCATCGTGGATATTCGAGGAATAATCGTAACAAGAGACTGAATATCGATGAATACGTCAGCGGCAAAAACGATATATATCAAGAGTGATAAAAACGGGTGTAAAATACTCAAAGTTGGGAGAAATGTGAGAATCATAGGAATGTTATGTATCGAGAAGGCTGAAGATACCGCTGGCTAAAGTCAAGAGCGAAAGAAAGAAACCGATAACCGGACATGTGACACCAACGAGGAGCGAAAGAGAGGAGCGGGAAAAGTGAAGATGGCGAGGCGGACCGAGAGACATCGTAAAAGATCAGAGAGGCGAAGGTGTAACCAGGAGAGACGCGAGACAACTAACAGGACAAAAATACCAAGACGACTAAGAAGGAAACCAGAAAGACGAAGAAGAGCAAACGGAGAGGACGAAAAGGGCCAACCGGGTACGGAAGAGAGGAAGACGGAGAAACAGGTAAGAGACCAGAAGGGGAGAGAGAGAGAGAGAGAGAGAAAACATTGAGAAGACAGGGAGGACCGATCGGACAAAGCTCACGGGCAATAGAGGCGAAGTGACGACGGGTTGCAACCGCCGCTGTCAGTGGAGGGAAGAAACGCTCAGGGAGAAAGAGTGGCACACCAGCGACGGTAGCCGGTCGTCTCTGATGGATGTTGCAAGACACGGTGCGCGCGTTCGTGCGTCCGCGCGCATGTGCGCGACCCTATAAGGCGCCCGGAGGCGACCAATCCGAGCCACCGCCGTGTTTCAACTGTCAACGCGCTCGCCGCTGCTGCATAGACATAAATTACAGCAAGAGCTGCCCTCTTGTCGTCTCTCCTTCTCCCCCTCCCTTTCACCGTCTCTCTCCTTTCTCACTCTCTTTCTCTCTTCCTTCCTCGGTTTTGCAGAATTACTCGGACCGGTTCAAAGAGACGGTGTCGATCAAATTGACGCACAGTCAGCTGCTTATACGGGAAATTTGTATGTGAGAAAAAACGCTGATCGGTAACGTCCTTTGAGGTGATCTTATAAATCGCACTATTTTAGGTCCCAATCGGATCGCGGGTCTTAAAGGAGTGAGAGTTCTTGGGAGTTTGGTCACGTCATGTTTCTCGAGGTTGTTGTGTACCTCAAATACACTTTTGCACCGCCTTCGATCTCACGGTGGCGGTCCCCGATTGCAGATGAACGGATTAAAGCTGGAGAAAAGCAGCGGAGCGAGCGAGAAAAATGCGTAGAACGATCATATCGCCTAGTCGCCGCGCGGAACGTGATCGGAATCGTAAACCCTAACTTTACTTAATCGGTGACTTTGTTCCCCAGGCTGGACTTTCGCGACACGACGTAATCTTTACTCGCACGTTGTTGATCCTTACATAACGGATAGGCGGAGGTATCGCAGGAATGCGCGTTCCTCAAAGTGCCTCCCGCATTGTCCTGCCCCGTAATGAACCGCCATCGCGTGCGGTAATGGGCTCATTAAACCGACGCCGCGGATTATTTACGAATCGGGACCCTCCGTGATTTTGTGGAAATACTAATTCGGCTTACCCGACGCGCGGAAAGAAATTTCACTGCCGTCATGGCTCGTTCTTAACTCACGATGCTATCGGCCGACGGATAAGATAACGGAACGCGTATTCTGTCGGCGCGACGATCGCAAATCGATCGATCTGGGATCGTCTCGAAATGAAATCCATTGATTACAGTTTGGTTTGGTAATATGAAATATTAATTTCCGAAGTGATCTTTGGGCGCGTGCCCAAGAGAGTACCGAACGAAACCCCGAGCGCCATTCATTTTTGCGAGATCGTCCGGCGGCTCGTTGGAACAATACGAGGCAAGACTGGATGATGCGATCGGTCGTCGATAAATTTCTCACGAAAGCGGCGAACGAGCGCGATCGATCCCCAAGATCCTTATCCATCCCGCGAACGGTCCGGCAACGAGCTCTCGCAGATTGCAAAGAGACTTTCACCGGCGGCGAAGCTTGCACAACAGTGTGTGCCCGCCTTCCCTCTTTTTTTCTTTCCCCCCTTCCTCCCCCCTCCTCTCATTTTCGCGAAACCGCGGAGTAAATAACGAGCGCGGAATCCACGGTCATAAGATGCCGGCACGGAAACGAGTAGAATGCCGCCAGAAATGTCGCTCGGCAGAAACCGCGTCTTACCTCGAGCGAATTTGCTTCTTTCCCTTTTTTTTTTTTTTCACGTATATTCGCTACGGTGTGAATATTATCTGGCGATCGCGCGAGGCGATAACCGAGTGGAAAAGGAAACACGGAAAGCGCAATCCTTATCGGTGCTGAGGTATTACAATGAAGAAAAAAAAAAACAATGGAAAAAATTAATGCACTCAACATTAGTGGTGTCGACGCCCGGTTATCCGAATACTCGGTTGATACGCGAATACTCGAGTCTGTCGGTGATTTAACAAATTACCTGGGTAACAGCAATTTTTTTTCTCACTACTGCTCGAGTACTCGTTCATTGCGAGCAGCACTTGAATACCAGGATAAATAGCGGCGAATCCGAACACCGGCTGATTACCCGAGTGCTTCGGCATAAAAACCACACGAGAAAGAACATGCGGTAATAACGCGGTAGTGTAAATTTAGAACATACAGTAAAGAGTATCGTTCGATAATTGAATTTTTCCTCGAATAAGAATATTTATAAGTTATTATATACTCGGCCACAGAGACATGTATGCGTACGCGTGTTTCTCATAATATTTATGTTTCGAGTTTCATATATATTCGTAATATACGATACGCGTGATAACACATTACGCAGCTCGCTCTAGCTCGTCCGAATATTTGATTAGAATCCATAAATTCTGATCGAAGGCACGATCGAGGAATGGGCTCTCCGGAGGCTCGACGATAAAATCCACCGATGTTGACGAATATTACGCAGCGAATGGCTTGAAAAATGGATCCTGTCGGTAGCCGTGGTGAACAGTAATTTGTTTGAAAATGCGAGGCCGAGCGCAGTCCGACCACGGAAAAGCATGCACGATAACCTTACGTCACGACCCACCGAGATACAGGCGTTATCGCAGTAAATTGTAACTCGGCTCTCTTTTTCAACGCACAATCCGAAGAAGAAGCCCGGCTGGCTGCGGCTGAGTCAGCGAAATTTCTTTCAGCATCTACGACGACGACGAGCGTGTAAAAAAATTATCGGGATGGCTCGTCCTCGATATCAACGGCGACGTCGCCGCCAGCATTGATAGAGTTCTCCAGCGACGCGGACTTCCACGTGATACCGCGCTGTATCACAAAACCGTCTTTCGGCGCCTGCGCTCGAGAGGGGCACAACCGTGGAACCGTGACTCCGAGGCGGCTTCTGTTATTCAGCTTGCTTTCGCAGAAGGGGGACGGATATTCGCGACTTTTTCGCCGCGAAGGATCTACCTCAAGAAGGCGCGCGGGAGAAGCGAAAGCAAGTGGCACTAGGCCTCTTCGGTAGGCCTTCCTCGCAAAAACCGGTAATCATCCTCGGGGAAAGTGTTGAAACTGGAAGTGCATGACGTCTTTCTGTTTGGCAGGCCTCGGTGGCGCGGCTCACACACGCGTAGAGCGGCACGTGTGCTGATGGCGCGCGTATCAGCTTCCCTTGCTCGGCCAACGATAGCGATAACAATAAACAGCCTCGTCCGTCGTGGCGGCTCTCTCTCTCTCTCTCTCTCTTTCTCTCGAAACGCGTGGGCGACGCTTAACACCACGGAGAGCCGATAAACTGCCCGGCTATCTGCACTTCTCCGCGTTCCCGTTGCGGGCTACCAATCGGCTGAGCCGGAGAGAGAGCGTCGCGCGGCCAGAAATATTGGATAGCGCGCTACCGTGCCGCCGAATATACAGGGTGTCACAGTATGAATCTCTCCTTCTTTGGGAGACGTCGGATGTGGAAAATGCCGACCGTTCTCCTAACGCCGATCAATATATTTGACCGAAACGTTATGTAAAATATAAGCATCGAAAGTACAGACAGTTGTCACGTAGAAGTACAATACGAAAAAGGACGGAAACAAACTGACGGTCGGTAAAAATGAAAAAAAAAAGAAAGTCAATAGTAATTAAATTAAAACACGAACGTTAATGTAGAAGAGTACGCAGATCGAGAAGGAATAAAAAGGAAAATTGGTAAATGAAGGAGATGAACCGATCAATCGTCGAATTAACGCTCGCGTCGATCACCTACGCGACAGGCTAATGTCCTAGATCGAAATCCCTCCGTCGCTCCGTAAAGACGTACCGTCGTAAACCATACAGTCGTTACACCCGGATATCAAGCCGGTATTTGAATTTATCGAGTACTATTCAAATACTCGGGCGCGTGAAACGAAAAATCGCGAGCGACACCTGTTTGCCATCTGTTATCGATTTTCACAACGGCTGATTTCGCATTCTTGCCTTTTCCAAGGTTCCACGTGCACCGTAATCACAGTACTTGAATTGTTTTCACAACAACCGGCTGCGATATTCGGATACCAGCATCGCTGGTGCAAACGTAACGCAAAACAAAACTTCGGAAGCTTATTAGCTTTCGACATTCCCGAGGATCCTTTATGTTACGCATATATTATCCGTTAATTCAATGAAATATAGTTCCCCTCGCACTTGTAAACGTTGGTGGATAATAATACACCATCCAATATATGACGGATTGAGTAGTAGTAACGGTAATACTAGTAGTTCCCGAGCGATTTAATGCCGCGGGAGTCCGTCCAATTTATC